ATGGTTTCACGTATAAATTCTACAAAACATTTAAAGAAGAAGTAATGTCAATCCTTCTCAAACTTTTCCAAAAAACTGGAGAGAAGGGAACATTTTCAAACTCATTCTATGAAGCCAGCATTACTCTGACCAAAGCCAGATAAGTACCATAGAAAACTATAGACCAATATCCCTGATGAACACAGCCGCAAAAATTCTCAAACAAAAAATATTAGCAAACTGAGTTCGAAAACCTATTAAAAGGATTATATACCATGACCAAGTGGGATTTACCTCTGGGATTCAAGGATGGTTCAACATATACAGTTCAATAAATGTGATAAACCACATTAACAAAATGAAAGATAAAAATCACATGATCATCACAAAAGATGCAGAAAGAGCATTTGACAAAATACAACATTCTTTCATGATAAAATCCTTCAATAAGATGGATATAGAAAAACATAACTTCAACAATAATAAAGGTAATATGTGACAAACCCACAGATAACATCATACTCAACAGAGAAAAACTGAAACCTTTTCCTCTCAAATCAGGAACAAGACAAAGATGCTTACTCTGGAAGTCCTACCTAGGACAAGCAGGCAAGTCAAATCAGAAGTATCCAAGTATGAGAGGAAGAAGTAAATTATTGCTATTTGCAAATGACATGATCGTATATATTGAAAATCCCAGTGACTCAAAAAAGCGTCAACTCTCATCACTACATAGAGTAAAGTTCCAATACATAGTCAATACAACACAGAAATCAGAAATCGGTTGCATTTTTATATATTAACAATAAAACATACGAAAGAAATAAAATGATCCCATTCACATCAAAAACAATAAAATAGCTAGGAACAAATTTAATGAAGTGAAACACCTATACAATAAAACTATAAGACTTTGCTGAAAGAATCCAAAGAAAACACAAACAAATGGAAGGCTACCCCATGTCATAGATCGAAAGAGTTAATATTGTTAAAATGTCCATGCCAAAGCTATCTATAGATTCAATACAATCTCCATCAAAATCCAATGGCATTTTCACAGTAATAAAAAAAAAAATCCATCCTCAAATTTGTATGAAACCTTAAAAGACCTCTAAATATCCAAAGCACTGTTTGAAAAGAAAAACAAAACTGAAGGCATCACACTTTCTGAATTCAAGCTATATTACAATGCTGTAGTCATTAAAACAGTGTGACTAGCATAAAAACAGGCCCATAGACCAAAGGAACAGAATAGAGAGCCTAAAATTAAACCCCCACACATGATCGACTAACATATGACAAGGGAGCCAAGAATATCCCATGGGAAAATGATAGTTTTTTTTTCAACTGGATAACCTCATGCAGAAAAAAAAAAAAAAAAACTGGACCTCTATCTTAAAATATTCATAAAAACCACCTCAAAAATTGGACCCCTATATTACACCACTCATAAAAATCTCCTTGAAATGGATTGAAGACTTAAACATTAGACCTGAAACCACGAAACTCCTGAAAAAACATATGGAGAAAAATCCTTGATATTGGTCTTGGCAATGATTTTTTTGGATATGACACCTAAAGCGCAAATAATAAAAGAAAATTTCAACAAGTGATACTATATCCTATTTAAAAACTTCTATGATACAAAGCAAAATTTAACAAAATGAAAAGGCGGCTACAGAATGGAAGAAATTATTTGCAAACCATGTAAAGGATAAGGTGTTAATATTCAAACTTTGTAAAGAATTCATGTAAGTCAATAACAAAAAACAACCTAAGTAGAAAATGGGCAGAGGAACTAAAGAGGCGCTTTTCCAAAGAAGACATGTAAATGGCCAGCAGGTACATGAAAAGGTGCTCAAAGTCACTAATCATCACGAAAATGCAAATCAAAACTACAATGGATACCATTTCATACCTATAACAATAGCTATAGTCAAGATAGTGGAAAGAAAGTGGAAAAATAGGAACTTTTGTGCACTCTTGATGGAAATGTAAACTGGTTTAACCCTATGGAGAACAGTATAGAAGTTCTTCTAAAAATTAAAAATAGAACTATCATATGATCTAGTAATCCTACTTCTGGATATATATATCCACAGGAAATGAAAACAGGTTATCAAAGTGATCAAGGACTCCCATGTTTACTATTGCATTATTCCTAAGCACCAAGATATGGAAACACTTGAGTGTCCATCCATGAGTGAATGGATAAAGATACACACACACACACACATATTTGTATATATACATATATTTATACACACACACACACACACAATGGACTATTATTTGGCCATGAAAAAAAGGAAAGCCTGTTATTTGCAGCAACATGGATGAATCTTGAGGATAACAGGCTGAGATAAGGCAGACATAGAAGAGCAAATACTGCAAGATCTCTCTTATATGTGGAATCTAAAAAAATATATATATTATATATAATATATATAATATAGATAACATATAGATAATATATATATACACACATGTGTATATGTGTATATATATATTTATACACACACACACCCAAACTCAAAAACAGTAGAGTGGTGGTTACCAGCCACGTGGAATGAGGAAATGGGAGATATGTTGTTTAAGGTACACATTTGCAATTAGTATATAAATAAGATAACCTAGAAATCTAATACATAGTGACTATAAACAAAACTATCATAAACATTAAACTTGATAAGAGACTCTTAATTTTTCCCACTACTAGAATAATAATTATGTGATATGATACAAGTGTTAACTGTTATAAAGGCAATGATATTGAAATATAAATGTATCAAATCAATGTGCTATACACCCTAAACATACACAATGTTAAATGTCAATTATATCTCAACAAAAAAACAAAAACAAGTATAATTCAATATTTAAACAAGGAAATAATATCTTTATTTACAGATGGATTGTAATGTTACATTTTTTTACTATCAAATGTTTTATTTTCCTCAGCAGTAAATCTACCAAAAAATATTTGCATCACCTGTGAAACTGTCAACATTTAAAATTAAAGTAATTGTATTGTTGACGATGTTTTGAAATAATTCATGTTCATACATATTATATAGTAAATAATTTGGAGGGAAAAAGTCTTCATAAACATTAGATAAGCATAAAACTAAATATGAACTGGAACTTTTCTTCCTAATCACAAATATATGCAGTATGCCATTTATATATTACCTATATGTAACATTTATATATTATAAATATATTAATAAACATATACATATAATATACATAAACATTTAAATACCCATTCTAAGGGGGAAAAAATACCCTCACTGTATACAGTTCAGTTTGCATTAAGGAAACTAAAACATCCATTTTTGGTCAATTAAGTGTAACTTTTAGCCACAAAGAAGTCAACCTTAAATAACAAAAACTGAATGTGATAGAAACTCTATGTGGAAAATAGGGAAAAGTCATTTGAAAAGTCTTCCCCAAAAAGGTAAATAGTTAATAGAGACACATACAAACGAAGCAGCTGCTGTTGTCTGAATTTACTAACCTATTTTATGTCATATTTTATGTCACAGAATATAGAAACTAGAGCCGTAAGTATATCTAGAAACTTAGATTTGTTTTAAATAGTTGGGGAAAAAAATACTCCACAGAAGAAAAACAAGCCATCTTGCACATGTTGAAGTAGATTCACAAAATTCTATATTGTTCAAGAAAAAGCTCTGCATGTCTCTATATACATATCAGCTTGTTAGTGAGTTTGTGCAAGAGCTAGAAAAATGTACGAACACCCAATTTCTTCTTATGGCCCTAATGCTAGGGACACTAACAAGACAGAACCAAAACAGGGAGGTTTTTATAAAAGAAATATTAATAAACTGAAGAATCTTCAGGCACCAAATTATTTTTTTTCATATTATTTACTTGTGGGATAATATGACTCTATCTAAATATGTGTAATTGGAGTACCAGAAGTTAAGAGGGAAGAGAAAGTTGAAGGGAAGGGGGAACAAGAATAAGAATAACCAGTGATTTCTCATCTGTTAAGTTAAAGGTGAGTATTGTAAACTTTAGAGCAATCATAAAGTAAATAAAATGAAGATATATATGTAATAAGCCAGAAGAAGCTGTAAAATGGAATAAACATATTCAATATGAGAAGACAGAAAAAGAGGAAAAGGAACAGAACAGATGGAATAAACAAAAAACAAACAGCAAAATGAAACGTTTAAAATCAACCACACCTAAATACATTTGAAATAAACAAATTAAAAAAGAAAAAATTGTCAGACTAGTTTAAAAAAAACAGAAAAACAAGACCAAATTATATGCTACATGCCTAAAATTTGAAACAGCTGAAATGTCCATTGAGATGAATGCAGAAACAAATTGCTATAATCATACAATGGAATACTATTCAGCAATAACAACTAAACTATTGATACAGTTAACATGGGTAAATTTCAAAACAGCTGGGCTGAGCAAAAGACAACCCCCACACCCCCCAACAGAGAATAATTCTATTTTTATATAGTAATGGGACATTCACAACTATTATACGATGATAGAAATCAGATTCATAGTTTCCTGGGGTAGAAGGTGGGGCTGAATAAGGGAGGCATGACAAAATTTTTTGGGATACAGAATATTTTACTTCATGATTAGCATGGTATTTAAACAGGTGTATGGTATACCTTTGAAAAACATCATTGAACTGTATACTTAAAGTAGGAGAATTCATTGTCTCAAGTAAATTTTAATGTAATAAAAGTCAGAAAGACCAGTAAAAATTAGAATAAAAATAATATATCCAAAAATCCTACAAAATTTGAAAATTAAACACACTTTAAAGTAGATAAAAGGTGATTGCCTGGATGTTTAAGAACATATACACAGTTTAACTTCAAGTTTATAAGTTTACAGTTATAATTAATAATATGAAGACTCTTAAGTAATTTAATGTTCTACAAAAATTCATGCATATACATACACACATATACATACACACACACACATAACTCAACACATGCATAAAATAAAATAATTACCAATTGAAGCTGAGTTTATTTGTTTCATGTGAGTTTCAATGACAGAAGGATCCCGAGAGCTGTAACTTCCCAACTCAGGGTAAAAGCTGGAGCCAATGTCATCTGGGGGTTTGTGTTTCCCTTGTGGATAATTCTTGCTTATTTTAGGGTTCCAATGCTTCAGAATTGGATGGTTCCAATGCATATATTCACCATCAAACTGTGGATTCCCATACCAACTATAATAAAATACATGTAAGTTATAATTCAGAGGTGGCTGTTCTTCCGAGTAAGGTTCAGAGGCTTTGGACGGTTTCATGGTGATTTCAATGCTTTTTAAATTCTTGATATTTATTTCACTGTTGATTTTATCATTCTTTTGGGAATCAAAACTTTTCTCCAAATGAGGAGTTCGTTGACGAACTTCTGGAAGAAGGTCAAGTCCAAAAGGATCTCCAAAAGTAGCTTTATTTGGTCTCAGCATTTTTAAACCCATCATCAGAGAGAAAACAAGCAGAATGAAAAGTGACAAAATGATGCAAGTCCTTCTTCGAAATTTTGCCATGATGACATACTTTAAACTCCAAAATGATAAATGTTTAGCTGTAATTTATTGAAAAACAGTAAGTGGATTAGTAAGTGGTATTAACAATATTTTCTAATGTATTCAAAAGTAAAAATTCAAATTCATAAAGTTCATTACATTGAAAAAAATTTTAAGTGCATTAGGATATTAATTATATCATTAAATACTGAGCTCTACAACAGAATTTATATATGGCAAGACCAAATGACAATATTTATTTGGAAATACCACAATTACACTGTCAGATAAACATTTTAGAAATTTTTTTTAACAAAACATATATTTTATGCCATTTGGACAGGTTTTATGTATAATACAGAGAACGTTCTATGAATATGGACTAATCTTTTCTAAATATAAAATTGAAGGCTCATAGTTTAAAAAAAGAAATAAGAATATATTAATGCCTAGTCCTTAAATGGATTTTCAACAAACTTATTTTTATTAACTAAAGTAATTATTTCACAAGAAGGGAGTAATCGCACATTTTAAATGACATTTTTTAGATGGAACAGAGATATAATTTTAAAAAGTGATCATAAGTTAGAGATTCCTAATTTTAAAAATCATTATTACTTTATAACTGAAAATCTTACTGAACAAAGGTTATAAAATTAACTAACAACTTCTAAAATATGGTTTCATATGTTGTTTTAAAAAGTGTATGTATACATACATATGTAGTTAGGTATCCATATATACGTAGGTATACATACATATACATACCTATGGATAAAATATTAAAATATTTGCCTTTACGTACAAATTTTTTTATTAGTTATTGGTCAAAAGTTGACACTAATTATATAAAATATAACTTTCTACTATACATCATGCTGTTGTTTAGAGCATTAAGTTAAACCAATCCTGATAGAAAAGAGAGAAGTAAAATTTAATGAGCAATTGTCACACACAAAATCTTTCTACAAACCAATACTTCTATTATGCATTTACGTAAGAAATGTTAAGATAAGCAGCATATTTCTTTTACAGCTAAAATTCATAGAGATTCTCCTCAAAGTCGACCTTGTTTAACTGTGAAATACGTCACATCTAAAGATTAATATGAAAGATATATGCTTAGTGTGAAACATATAAAATTCAAAAAGAAAACTGCCAGCTTTTAAAAGCCCATTTCCACGTTTTGTGCCTTTGGCCAATCACCAGCCCTACACTTCTCCTTACTTAAGAGCAACACCTTCTGTGTTTACCATTCCTTCATCTTTTTTATACAGTTTTTCCAAAACATAAGCGTACCTAACCAATATGGTTTTGCCTGTCTTCAAAATTTTATTTAAGTAAATATGGTATATCTATCTATCTATCATACATATATACATACAAACATATAATATGCATACTAATCATATATAGACATATATATGCCTTACAGATATTTACATACACTATAAATATGTACAACTATATATATTTAGATGTATATAAAATATACAAAACTCTTGAGAAACAATATCAAATAAACCTCTGACACTTTATCTTAAAGGTGTCCTACCATTCCCCATCCCTGAATTCCATCACATCAATTCCTTCTCTCTCATATAAAGTCATGAAAATGGACTTTTAGCAAAGGAATAAGTAGATGTGTCTGGGAAATTTTGTTTTATAATTAATTCACTGCTTTGATAAAAATGCTTTCATGTCACATACTTGCCTTCCTAAACTTTGAAAATAAGATTATCAAAGTAACACTTTTATTACTAATACTCTAATTTAGAGACCTCCCCCTTAATGTTTTTATTATAGTTTAATAGTCATCAAATGAATACACTGTGACCACACCAAAAAGCTGAACTCATTAAAGTATGTCATGTAATCAATCACCAAACAATATAAGCTAAAACAAGCATGATAAAAGTTGATACAGTTGACTTTGAGATGAGAAACAACTGAATCCTATTGTTCTCCAAGGAACAACGAAAGCTTATTTCATTTGGTTGAAATACAAAAAA